AGTCGTATTGTACCTTAAGAACGAGAGAGGGGAATCTGTAAAGCAAGTCCCGACCAGGTGAAAAAATACTATAATCCAAAATGATTTTGAAATCCTTAAAAGTTTCTTGCAGGACTCAAGTCTAAACGAAGTAGAAGGTCCAGAAGTAACAACAACCCGTTCCACACCCAAGAAGCAGAGAACTGAAGAGAGAACCTAGCCCTTCTACAACCCGGCTACGGTACCGAAAAGAAGAAATGAAAACTTTCAGACTCCAGCATTTAAGAAAACAAGAATAAGCCGCCCGCGTAAAGAACCGTTGGTAAAGAGGAAAACACCACTACAACGTATCGCAGTAGAAATTCTATACATCGAGGAGAACGCGCCCAGGGCCAGAGAGTCAGGTGCCAAACAAGGCCGCCGTTCCCGAGAACTGAAAAGACAGCAGGAGGAAAAAAAAGACCAGGAACCAACAGAAGAAATTCCAAGAAGGACTTCCAGACCGGAGGACGTCCAAGTGGTGGAGACCAGCCCGTCCAGGGAAAAACGGAAAGACAGCAACCCGACGACTACCACTCCAAGAGGCCAGCATGCAGAGGACGGGCAAAAAAGAAACTAACGTGGACGACACTCGAAGGACCCTAAGGAGAAGATTGACGTCGATGAAACCTATAACTTGGGAGCAGTTTGCCAGAAAAGAATGTCGGAGTTTCAATCATCGAAAACTCAAAGATAAGTTAAAATCTTCTATAAATTTTTTTTTTCTCTTTTGTTCCGAAATGTTATGCGTAAATACGAAGTTCTATGTTTTGACGGAAGTCAATGTGTCTCGGTTGAGACTTAGTTTTGTTTTACTTATTTAGCTAAAGCAAAAGCATAAAAGCATTATTTTCTTTAAGTATAAATCTAAGAACAAGCAGTTTCTGTTGGTCGAAAGACTAATTCTGTTATGTTAAAGCCAAAATTTCGGCCGAAGATGTAAAATAACTTCGTATTCTTGTATTAATAAGAATTTTAGTTTCAGTGCCGCCAGCTTGGCGAAGAATGAGTAAAGTAAAAATTTATTTTCTCTTATTCATTTTATGGTAAATTGTAAAAATCATATTATTAAAATTTTGTAAATGTACGTAAATGCTTGAAAGTTATGTAAAAGTAGAATTTAGTCTAGAAGCATAAAATTTTAAAATGCTAAAAGTAAATGCTCAAAAGCAATGAATTCAAAATTAAGTATTAAACTGTAGATAAATCATGCTTTAGAGCGAAAGCCTGCATGTTTAAGATAATGAGGGGGAAGTTAGAATGAATGTGTTTTGTAGGGTTCTCCACCTAGACTTGAATTTTAAGAAGAATGTTAAAGTAGCTCATCGAGTTGTAGAATGTCGAGTAAGGTGTGTCTATTTGGTCGTTGAATTCTAACAAATCATGGTGGTTAGGAGTGTTGCAATACTAAAACACGAATATTCCCGTTTGACACCACACATGGTGGAGAGCCAGGGTAAAGTTAAATTAATGTTTGAATACTTGAATGAATGTGAATTAAGCAGTAACTAAGGAAAACGAATCGTTCAAAAACAAAACTTTATTCAGTGTCAAGAAAGTGTAAATTATAATGTATTTAGAAAGATACTGATACTTATTCCTTCCAGATGCTGGAAGGAAAAGACCAAGATTGATTGCTGAAGTCCAGGAAAAGGTTGCTGTAAGAAGAGAGAGTTAATAAGTATACTACAGAAATTTAGTAACAATTTGTTAGATAACAGATTTTTTTTTTTTTTTGTGTAACGAGGCTCTTAGAGTTAGTTCAGAATTGTGGAAACTTACCAACAGGTCGTTTGTAGGACCTGCTTCCAAGTTTTTCCAAATTCTGGCAGCGGCAAATGTAGGGTTTATATTTATTTTAACTAACATTTATTTTAAGTTTAAACTATCTTTCCTGTTAAGCCTTACTTTCCCCTGGAACTTGCCAATGCCAGAGTATGTAAATTTTAGTAGAACGCGCAAGGATTCAAATTGTCAGCGGAAGTATTCTGAGTTAAATAGAAGGAAACGAGTTCGAAAGTGTGCTTTCTTACTGCACGAGCGTGGAGGTAGTTAGCCAGAAATTGAAGAACCCCGCGTTTCGGCCTGTGTGCTTGCCTGGAAGTATTGTTAATCGTTCAACGTGAATCTTCAAGTTTGCTGAATTATCAGCGGTATTGTAAAACGCGGTGAGGTTAGTTTACTTTTAGAGAGCCTCGTAGTTAGAGTCTTGTCTTTATTTTCTTTTCAGGTTATTATTTTATTTTACCGCCTAGTTGGCAAAGTTTGTAAGCGTCAAGAGCACGCACTTGTAATTTATTACGTTGAATAAAAAGGTACTTAAACCCTTAACAAGACTCTGTCTTTTATCCAGTTTCAACAGTCACCTCTTGGTTGCGTGCAAGTTGGAGGCGCGCAACGCTACAGGGCGTAAAATTATACTATCTGGTGGTAAAAAGTCTATGAAATTGTATGCCAGTATTGAAAGAAGCAATGAATCTGATAAGAAATGGCTGCGAATTGCTTTGAAAATGAGGACTAAAAGGTTATCAGCGAGGATATTCCCTTTGGCATCAGTTGTACTTACTGGCGACTTTTATCGTTTGTGCCGGCAAAACGGAAAAGTACCAATATGTTTTGCTACTTATTTCTGTTTTCGGTAGTGATATTTCTATTTAAAACTCGCAATAAAAATTCATGAAATGTCATATTTAGAGAAATATAAACAGAAGATACAGAATTTTTTACAGAAATATAAATAGAAGTTACTAATGTACGTAGCACGCCGTGGTGGAAAGAGTATGCAAGGATAACGGGGACAAACAGCTCATTGTATACATAATCAGATGCTTTAAGTAGCTGCAAATTGATTAATATATTTATCTAAATGTCTCTAAGGTTGAACTGTAGTGAAAAGTTTAATTGTAGAATTTGTTCAATTATTACAATGTACAAGTTGAAATACGAATTTTCATTAAAATGCTTCATTACAATTCGGAGTGTTTGTGTTTCCACATATGTAAAATTTAGAATTTCGAAATTTGAAGAGCGGGCACTTTAAAATTGTTTCCAGGGCACTGCATTGTCGACCCTTTCTATAGAGTCATTACAATTCCTGAGAGCAGAAACTTTGAAAAATTAAACGCATCCTCTCTAGGAAGAATTCTTCCTAGAGAATTTTCCTAGAAAGAAGTTTGATGATCTGCAGCCGATATTAATTGAGGTAGAGAAGACGCATATAATTCAAATTTATAGCTTCGACTCAAGCTGCATTCACGGCATTCTGCGCAATGTGTGCGGGCATAGTTTAAATGCTTTTCTCTGGATAATATTAGAAAATTTATAATTCACGATGCAGTATATAATTTATTTCAGAAGTTAAGTAAACTAGAGAGAATATTATCACACAATAAACAGTATAATTCTGCAGAAAATAAATATGGCATTACCACATCTCTTTTATTCAAACGGAAGAGTGTGAATGAAATTTTATTTGGAGGGAAGTTTTGAATAATGAATAACTGATTAGAAATCAGAGTGATATGAAAAATATTTACTGCACTTCTTTTTAAGACGCTATAAATTTCAACAGGGTATTGAATCTCATTTATATCTAATACATTTTAACCCACATCACGAGCCAGAGTCATAGAAATATATGAATCAGTTTTGTGTAAATTCATTCCATGTAGATTATACTCTGGTTTATTTTCAGCTTTTGTGGCATCTGTGGAGTCTGAACAGAACTTATGATAACAAGCTTATGATAACAAGTTTACTAGAGTTTCTGTACTAGGAACAGGTCTGGCAATGAGGATAGACATAGCAAAGTCCATGGCTACAAGGATATGCTAGCAGTGTGAGCGGTTGATATGCCAGCAATGTAAAAACGTGTTTTGTCCCGTTGGAACAGAGAAATATAAACAGTTGTTGCGCATTCGCAAACTGTAGGACCTTTAGTTGAAGCACTTCATCAGTATGACGTTATGCTGTCAAATTGCTCTCGGTGAAAACCAATGATGATCGAACATTGCATGAAATCTCATTCTCTCTGGACATATTACAAAACGTTTATTTGGAGCTTAGCATGTCTTTTCGCACGTTGATGCTTTGGTCAAACGCACCAAGAGAAAAGTGAGGATCATCAATAAAAGTTTAACTGCTGCCTTTCAATGTGGTTAGGAGATATCCTTACGAAGATTTATTTCCTTTTATATTGACATTCCTGTGATATCAGAGGCAGTCGTCTTAACTGTCTGTATGCATGTAATCCAGCAGCGTGCGACCGTGTGTTAATAGTACTGGCACTTAAAGGATCCTGCAGGCGATCACTATTTGCTACAGATCCGCAGCATGAAAGATTGGGTGGTTTCCGCATGTCGGTTTCGTTTGGTTCATTTGATTTTGGCAAAGCACTCGAGGGCTATCTGCCTAAGGTAAGGGATACCTTCGTGAAGGAAACTGGCTAGTATACACGTTACATGGTGAAAGCCAAGAAAACGCCCATTCAGCCAGCCCTTTCACTAGAACTTGAACCAAGAACAGAGCTTGTGTTCAAGAACTTTACCACTCGGCTGCACCTTTCATTTCGGAAAAACCTTGTTCTTCTACTCTTATCTATCTACGGAGGTCTCTGTCAGTTTGCATGTCGTGAAACACAGTGCTTCCTATAGCCTGTAATAGTAATTAAATGTAGAACGGACGATAAGGAGTGGAATACTATGAAGAGTGTCCGTCTTCATGCATTCTTATCATGCGATCATCTCGAGCACATCAACTGTTTGAATCCTCCCCTGATTAAAAATAATTTATATAGATACACTGTAAATATAACTGTGAATTCTCGGTGCCATATGCGCTTACCTGAAGCTCAGGCAACGATAATGTTTATTGGATTTTTATGGCAACTGATAATTTTATAATTCATTATGGTTTTCAAAATTACATTTCTAAAAAATAAAAGACGCTTGCAAAATACAAAAGAGATTTAAACATGTACGTACTTGCTTCCTCCAACGGGAATAAAACAAACCAGAGAATGCTATTATGAGAAAAGCAAAAAAACTTCCAATAAGTGCAGAAAATGTGCTTCCTTTGCTTTCACCTGTGAAATCGAAAGTGGTACAATTAGTTAATTCATATATATATGAAAATTATGCACGCGTGTAACTTATAATAGGAAGAAAAACTTACTAACATTTAAAAGGGCGTTAGAAATGAGCCTAATCCTAAATGATTCAAGAATTAGAAATTAATATACTCATGATGTAAGTAAACCGGGTAGACTACTAGCTTTGAAGATTAACGAGTATTGTTTGGACTTTCAAAATATAGTATTTCAGATTTACTGATATTACCCTAATTCCTGGGGCTAATTTTTGATCATTTTCGGATTACATACAATGCTGTCTTCTTTCTTATTCAGAGCCTGAGGTTTTGATTAAAATCAAATTATTCCGATGAGCAAAAACGGAAAAAAATGAAGAAAATCTAAAAGCTTTCAGATTTTATTACGCTTGTAGGGGCGGTTTCCTCATTTATACACACATACACGTTTCGAGAGCAGTTGGATTAACGGTCGTCTTGGCTAAATATATTTTTAAACAGCATATCTTTACAATTTCCGATAGGCAATTTCGCGCGCTGAAGAAATGCTCGCTGAAACAATATTTTAGTCCGTACAGTGTTGCCAGTGCTCGCTTTGAAATCGTTGCGTTTTTCAATAAAAAATTCGTTAAAGTTTTACAGAATATGAAATAGATAAAGAAACAAATTCGAAACTCAAAATTTGGTCTTTCAGATGCCCATATTCGGGTGGGTTGCTGTAGGTAATATTGTTTCTCACTATGCCAGAAATATACATATATCCGTGCAAATTACTTATTACTTAATTTCTTTAAGTATAATACAGAGCCATAATATTTGGTAGCAGCGATTTGAAAAGTTATTTAACACTTTTAGTGATTCGACGCAAAATGTCGTTTCGAGACTAATAGCCCTTCTGGGCTAATAAACAAGGGACAAGAAATGAACAACTTTTTGTTTCTCCTCTACTCTTTTATCATATGACTTTACTCTTTTATCTTTTACTTTTCCTCTACTCTTTTATTATATGTTACTAAAGTACAAAGTATAATATCATTTAGAAAATGAAAATTTAATATAATTTTCGTTTAGGAAAATATTTTGCTTTCTCTTACAAACATAAGTTAAGATACTATCTTAACAATTCTACAATTACTTACATTTATATATATACGCGAATTTTGGAAGCACTGTGGAGTTAATCTAATGAAATTATGTGCAAGAAGAAATAAATTATCCGGAACCCAGTTTGCGTTAAATAGGTAAGAGATTCATTGAAAAATTTACGTACAACATATTATTTCATTAATGCTTATTTTTCAGGTACAATACTGTAGAAAATTCATGGCGTGGAAGAACTCGATGATAAAATTTCAAGTATGCACATCATTTATGAAGTATATTTCATATTATTTCCAAATATGCATCTCATTTATAATTGTGAAATATCTGCTTCCGTGTACTCATAAATGTTTTTAAGTAGAAGTAGTAGATGCTAGCCATCTGATTCTGAGTTTGAAGAAAGCAGTTAACATCTGCGTGAAGAAACTGTTCAAGTGGAAATCTAGAGGTAAATTCTAGTATAATATATCTAAAGGATGCAAATGTGGTTTACAAATTTTGAATGTTCTGATCAGAAATACTTCGATACGAAGCTATTGATCATCAAGGGAAAATAATTAAAACTACAAAATGATAAATACTGAATACTCGCAAAATACGCCGCAAATGGGTGTAACTGCTCGGGAGTGTTTGGAACTCCTATGTTTCTTCTAATACTTAAACTTCTATTAATGCTTTCAATATAGGTGCATATCACAATGCGAGGGCAAAACCTGAGATTGCCAACTTTTTCCATAAAAGGCATGTTTTGCTAGATGGACTTATTAAATACTCCACTCATAGTCAATCTATAGTAAGAGATGAACACCATAGTACGTATGAGTGCAATAAATATCGACAACGCTTCAGTATGAGCACAATAAAAAAAATCTGAAAGGTTTCAGATTTTAAATTACGTCCAAAGGGGCGTTTTTTAGCGTTTCGTGTGTTATCTTTATTTATTAAATATCATGTTATTTGCATTGAACCATAATTTAGTCAACAGCAATGTCGCAAATAATTTGAAATGAGCCTATCTTTTAGAATTTCCGAACACCGTCCACCGCTAGAGATAAAGGTCCCCTCCCCCCGTAGAGTGTTCATTCTCGCTTTTAAATCGTTGAGTTGTTTACTCAACAATTTCTTAAAGGTTTACAAAATATGAAATCGATAATAAAACAAATTCCAAATTTGGGCTTTCAGATGCTCATATTCGCGTGTTTCAAGTGAAAAAATGGAAGCTGTAAATGACATGAGCAGCTCTTTTATATAATTGTCAGGAAACTAGATTTTGAACGGATTTCCTGTCACAGCGGCCTATTATCCTTCAAATGTTTTAATGCTGATTACAGAACACCCTAGCATCAGATATGTAAATATGTTAATTGCGATAAAATTCATCTGCCTAAAAGTACTTTTAAAACATTGCGGGTATTGGATAGTACATGCGTTATTTCCCTCTGTTATGTCACAATAGTTTAACAAAACTGTACCATTAATAAATTTACCATTAATAAAATTGATTTGTTAAAGAAATTTAACAATGGTATTTCGAGCACAAATTCATTTCCAACGAAATTTATCCTTAAACTGTTATGTACGCAGACAAGGCAAGAAAATGCATAATATAGGAAAAATATCTCTTGCATAGCTGGTGAAAGACATACAGTTTATTTTTTACAATGAATCAAGTAATATAAGCCTTCATATTATGGTAATTGTGGTCACATCCTTATAGAAATATCCCAAATATTATTTTATCTAAATCTCGCAGAAGAATTATGCAATTCTCACTGCTGAAAAAGGAAAAAAAATATGAAAATCATTTAAGTTATTATTTATTAGAATTTTTAAAAAGCATTAATAAAGGTAGTTAAGCATAATAAGTTTCCGACTATTGATTTCCAAAAATTCATTTAAGTTTCAAAATCAGTAATTTAAAAGCTTCAGATTTTGTATTCTATCCTTAGATTTGCTGGAATTCCATGTTTTGTTTAAACTATTTCCCTGTTCGCTTTTCTGTTGATCGAATAAAACTGATTCACCTCGCATAATTTTGTCAATTTTTTCCGGCTCTGCTTTTTACGTTACGTCCTGGACGTGTTTTCTAAAATACCTTTCGTATGGTAAGTCTGGAAGGGACTAAGCTGATCCTTGCATAAAAACATTTAAAAATTAAGCTTGAACTGTCTTCGTCCAAGGTCCCAAAGACATTTAACCCGTTAAAACGCTCTCTCTGTATGTTTTGGTTTAGTTTAGTTTATGTGATTATGGCAAAGCTTCGAGGGTTATCTATCTAAGGGGAGGGATGCCTTCGTGAAGGCCTTTCTAAGTGAACATTTCACATGGGGAAAACCACGAGAAATGTCCATCCAACCAGGTAGTTCGCGGGATTCGAACCTCAGACCGAACTACTAGCATTCAGCAGCATACATATTTTGAAATATCTGAAGTTATCCTTAATATAAATGAAACATCAAACACGTGATACTTATGTCATTCAAAACTTTATTCACGACCTTTTTTTAATCCCAACATCATCTATTAAACTTCTGTCTGAGATTGTATAATGTATGAATACTAAAATTTTCATTACAAATACTCCTCTTCTCAAACTCTTCCGCATATATCAAAATAAAAGTATATTATTTTGAGTTGATACTTGCATTCTGTAGTTGCCATCAATAAAATATAAACATACAGGAGTCAATTTTCACTAGTTGCGTTTCATATTCAGCAAAAATTAAAATCTGGCAGTGACAAATTTTTTAACTACATATGAAAAATGCTGCCTTTAAGATTTCATTATAAAATATTTTGTAGAAGATTTCAAATAAATATCAGTGCATGTGATCAATGCACACAGTCATGTATGTAAAATAAAATATATCAATAAATTTTAGTTATAATTATGTTTATTTATATGTGGGAGTTTAAAAATTAAAATATACACTTACTTTTAATTAATTCCACATACATAATATTAAGTAAGAAAAGTATTCTTTTTTCACAAATGTCTTTACTCGGCCATTTCTTTTGCAAATATTGTTCGAAGACACAATGCTAGTTACAAAAATGTTTGAAATGAAGCAAAGATTCCCAGTTTGGCATTCTTAAAGAAATCAGTTTTGTAATTCTTCCAAACGTTACTTTTTTGTATTCTTCCGGTCCCTATATATAGGAAAATGTTATGCGCATTATTTGATTTCAAAATCTACGATTTTGGATATCATATTCAGTTTGCACTGAGGAGCTGGTCAGTAAGTAAATTGGAAAAAGTCTAGATTGATTTTTCTCACTTAAATGCCACTCAATGATACTGTTTCGTGATTAAATTATTAATTTTTAATTTTATTGCATTTGGTATCCCGAAAGAATTTTTACATAAATAATTCATAAGTATAAAAATACGTAATTATACTCTCATGAAGTATTATTATTTTGGAATCATAATCTGGTAATCGTAAAAAAAATTAATTAGTGTACCTGTATTTTTTAAGGATTTATTCAATTTTATTAACCAGTTATGTTATGTTGATTATCTTTACAGTCTTTCCACATTCCTGCTAGAATGCTAATTTCAAGTTCGCGTGCATTCAAATGAGGTAGAAAGAGATAGTATTTAAAGGAAGGTTTCGGACTGTGGAATTAGAGCGTATTCTACCTGCCAAAAGCAACGTTACCAGTTTAATTTATTAACAATCTGTGGCGTTGAGTTATTCTAGCCATCAGGTTTGACAAGCCGATATTAGGTCCGAGCCAACTCAGACGCATTCTAACTCTTTAGTCTAGTTAGAAAAATTACGATTTACTTAGTCAAATTAAATTGTTTGCTTTTGAGTTGCCCGCCTAGATGATATACGAGTAGTGTTTAGTGACCGAAACGCCGTCGCATGGACCTCCGACCTAATGTTCTAC